AATATGGCAACAGCAGGGTCAACAAAAAAAAAAAAAAAAAAACACCCTGATTGGACAGTAATGTTTTTTCTTATACTGTATGTCTACTTACTTTTTTATCATTGACATCCCGCATGTAATAATCCTTATTCATTTATTTCTCTCTCTTTTCCTAGTACATGTTCCTTCGTTGTTGCAACTTAATTATATTTTTTTTATTTTGCATGAGAAGTTTCATAAGTTTTTATAAATTCATATAAAATAAGGTTATATTAAGTCTGTCATTCCGCTTGTAACACCTAGAAACATAGATTTTATATTAGAACAGCGCGAATTTGCTGTAAATTTGCAGTTTATGTTCAATGTATGTAGGAAACATTCTTGCATAGAATGGTCTATATAGGTCCGAGATTTGAAATAGTCCGAATAGTCCACGTTTAGAAATAGTCCGAAGTAAATTCGGATATTCCGTATTTTCTGTTCACCGGATGTGTTGAAGACTTGGTGTTTTGGATTTGGAATAGGTACCATCTTTTCTGGTGAATAGTTGGATGTAGCTGTTGTAGACGTCTGTATTTTTTACCGGACACTTAACGAGTGTCGTAATACTTTATTTTCTGTATCTTTATTATGTTTAATATAATTTGTCTTATTACATAGTATTATTTTTTATTACATTATCTATATGTGTCTTCATTCACAGTATTTGTGTCCACTTATATTCGACTACAGCTCTACCAACCTGGCAGATGTGAACGACCCCGTTTACACGGGGTTATTGATAATTTTCTAAACCAGTTGACTACATACTTAAACACCAAATAACTACTATATGCTCTACCTGGCAGAGAAACCCTGGGTCTCACTATCCGTTTTCCATAATCGCATATTGCAGGCCTCTATTATACCATAGTAGTGTATTTGTGTTATCTGGTCCTTTAAATTTCGTATAGTCCCCTTACCATACCTCTTTCATATTTGCCCCTATTTGCGAGTACATGCGACACTTTAAACAGTTCTTCTTACATTTATCTATTTTTTCCTTCAGTTCCGGGAGCGAATAATGGTGCCTCATTTTCAAGTGACAACTTTGTCTTCTTCTTCCATTATATATTTCTTTAGTTGATTATCCTCCTTTTCTTTTGTCTCATTTTCCTCATCCAACCTCTCATCGACCTTGAAAAGAGCCCAACACGCCTCCCATTTCATTTAGTTATTTATATTTCACGTCCTTTGTCCTTATTCAATGTTTGTTCATTTTTAATTCATTAATCATATTTTTTCCGATATTATGAAATCCGGGTTCTTTTAACGTACATCGCATTGAAAACGATTTAAGGAAGTCCCTTCTGAGTAATAGAGCACACCGGGCTCTGTCATTAATTATCTTAAGATTAATTTTTTTATTCTTCTTCTAAATTCTACAGCTGCTTCTATTTGGCCATACATTGATTTATACGCATTTGGCTCATTTTTCCGCCCCATTGCGTGTTGAGGCTTCTTGCATGTATTTGCGTAGTGTCCCATGCCTTGGCAATTGTAGCATCGAAGTTCCGGCTCCTCCTGACTACTTCCCCTCCTGTGTTTTCGGCTGCCACTGGACTCTTTCAGCCACCATCTTTTCATACTTTGGAATTAACTTCTTAAAGTCGCATTTTTGTCGCATTCATAAACACTGAGGCCGCCGTCTTGCATTCTTTCGGTTATGTACTCCACTAACTCTGCTTGTGTTATTGGAGCCCGTCGCCAAGTTCTTGCATTATCAATGCATATCTATGCATGACCTTTTTTCCACTTACAGCCATCCAACCTGTGCAGGATGTCCTTCGCGCCTGTCTTCTCGAATTTCTCACACAACTCCATCTTCAGAGCCAACTGTGCATTTGCACTACTCAAGAAGAATTTTGCGCTTCCGTCAAGCATTCTTCGTGCAAAGATAAATTTTTCTGCTTCATCACATCTCGTATTCGTCCAACCATTTTCTGATGGTGTAACATTCGTCGCCTGTAAATTAAGGGAAGGTTCCCTCTAAGTCTGCAAACGTGACCACACTTTTCTTTCGTTTCCGGCTTTCCAGCTCATCAATGTTATTTTCCAATTTCCAATATTCACGTAATTGACTCTCATTCGCTTGAAAAAAATTGGCTTTGTGTAGCTGTGCGTCAACTTGCTCCCTTGCTGTTGTAACGGCTGTGCCACTTCTTGGTCCCTTGTTGTTGACATGGTTGTGTCTTGCTCACTTACTCTTTGTTGCCATTGCTGTGCTTGGTCTTGCTCACTAAGTTGTCGTTGCGGTGGCTGTGCTTGGTCTTGCTCACTTGTTGTCTTGCTCACAGTGTTTTCTCGTTATGTTTTTTATTTCCAAACTTTTTGTTGGCTTTTCTACAATTTCACAGTACGCGTTGGTTGTCCCACACCTGAAGTTGTATACTTCTGTATTCTTTGTCGGTCACTTAACGAGTGACGCGATACCTTTTCCTGTATCTATATTATCTAACATGATATTGGTTGTCTTGTTACATAGTTGTATTTTTATCGCATTACCGATTTGTGTCTTCATTTACAGAATTTGTGTTCACTTATATTCTACTACAATATCAATGGTTTTGTAAAACCCCATATAACTGCAACCCAAGATATTCGGAATTTTTAATTTTAATTTATTTTACAAAAGTTCCAACATAGCTCTTTTTTACTGTTAGTAAACAACTCGGCAAGATTTATTTACTTAATTTTATCGGTTGTAAAGGTCTACAGGTTTTGCATTTTTGGATATCATAAACAGTGTTGCCGAAAGTGGTTTTGTTATGATTTTGGTGGTTTTTTTTCATTGCGTCATACTGACATTTTATCTTTCGTTTATATTTTTAATTTTTATAACATCTTCATTCTGAGAAAGAGTATACTTTTCAGCAAATGGAAGAGAAAAAAGAACAAGTTAGAAAGCATAAGTCGGTATTCCGACTGATAGATAATATCATCGTTTGATCATATATTTTTGTATACGCTTTTTTGGGGTCGTTGCATAAATATTATACATATATATTTTCTCTTTATAATGATCTAATGTTTGTAGAAATAATGAAGCAGTGGCATTCGAAATGGTTATTTTTGGGTGTTCCTTCCCGGACACGGTTTTAAAAAGCATTCTGTGATTTTTTACTTCCCTGCAATGCAGTGTAGTTTTAAAAAGTACTGAAAAATAAGTTTACAATTTAAACATTTGGGTCAATTTTAAGATGTGAGAATAAAAGTGGAACAATTCTTACCCTTTTAGAGAGGTATGCGGAAGTATGCGCTAATATTTTCCATGTTCCCTAATCATCTAAGTTTGATATTAATATTACCACAGATTTTATTGTACTTTATCTGGTTACCGTTTCGTTTTATATGAAATATGTGTGATTTTCTTGACATTTTTAAACTTTTTTGTATAAAAGAATCCGTTCTCCATAATCGCATATTGCAGGCCTCTTTTACAAAATACTTTGTACATCCTTTTGCGTGCGGTTGAGGCGCTGGGAAAATCTAACAATTAAAAATAAATATTTCAACATCATCAGTTTCCCAGTAGTCATAAAATATCACATGTGTACAATTCAGTGATCTTGTGCGCTGTCGCATATGGTAATGTGTAAATAATAAAGTCCATGACCCACACACACCAAATATCGATGCGCCAGTAGGTAGCCAAGATCACTTGAATGAAGGGACAAGCAGCCATGTTATGTTCCCTTTTTAAATCTAAAAATAGATAAGAACAATTGTGTGGCTGCGAGTGGGTTAAGTTAGATTAGTTTTTGTAACAGTTAAGAACAATATTTTTAAAATAAAATCAGATTTAACTCATCAACCCAAACGTGCGGTTGTGTTTTATTTCTCAGGAGTGAGATTTGGAGCTGATATCTACACAGAGTGGTTGGTTTCTCTTCTCACTTGTACACCTCTATTATACCATAGTAGGGTATTTGTATTGTCTGGCCCTTTAAATTTCGTATATAGAAATTTCGTATACTAGTTTCATATTTGCCCCTATTTGCGAGTACATATGACACTTTAAACAATTCTACTTATATTTATCTATTTTTTCCTTCATTTCCGGGAGCCAATAATGGTGCTTCATTTTCAAGTGACAACCTTGTCTTCTTCTTCTTTCATTATATATTTTCTTTATAATCAATTCCTTTTCTTTTGCCTCATTTTCCCCACCCAACCTCTCATCGACCTTGAAAAGAGCACAATTTTGGGCGTTCCTCCCCGGACACGTTTTTAAATAATCACCCTTATTATGGTTGGCGTTGTCGTAGGCGTTCAAGTGTCGTAGACGTAGTCGTAGGCGTTGTCGTAAATAAAAATGTTGGTATTATGTACAATTTTCGACTACGTCTTTTTTGTAATAGATGTAAAAAAAGCAGGGTGCTCTGGAATAATAAACAATTGTAGAATTTACGAGCTACCCGGTTAAAAGAAATAAATGCGTCAGTTGAAATAGTTGAAGTAAAACGATCATTTGTTTAATTAAATATTGAAATATGTTAAGTGTTGGCAATTTTTTATCTGAGGATGAAGATGAGTATATTCAAAATGATTTAAACGTGAGGCGAAAAATATTGCGGCAAGAGTCTAACATATTTTCCATGACTGATTCCCAGTAAGTAAAATGTAAAATGAGGAAGAAGCTAAAATAAATATTTTTCTCTAGATTAGTTAGTTACTTCAGGCTAAGTAAGGATGCATTTAAATATGTTTTGGGTCAAATCACTCCAGACCTCCGTAACCGGCTTAAATCTACAAGTGTCCCAAATACACTAAAACTAGCCGCAACAATTCGAATACTGGCTGAAGGAAGTTATCAAAAGGGTGCTGGGAACGATTTCAATGTCAGTTTATCACAGTCGTCTGTCAGCAATGTGTTCCGCGAGTGCATAGAAGTATTGCATAATAAGCTGTGTCCAAATTGGATCTCTTTTCCCACCACAGAAGAAGAGAAATATGAAATTAAGGAACATTTTTTGAAAATACTGGATTTCCTGGTGTGATTGGATGTATTGATGGAACGCACATAAAAATTGTTGCGCCAAGAATGGAAGAGAGATTCAAATACTTGAACCGGAAAGGCTTCAACAGTCTCAACGTAACGGTGGTATGTTGCATAACTTATAAATAATGCAAATAGCTTTACTGATTACTGTGTGATCATAAATTAAGAATTAGATATATATCATCACACCATCATGGATCCGTTCACGACTCGTTGGTTTGGAATACAAGTGATTTGAAACAACACATGAAAGAAAACTTTGACAATGGCGAAAGAAATACATGGATATTAGGTACATATATTAAATAAAATTAGTTATGACTTTTATCAAGTTCGTTGTTTTAGGTGACGCAGGATATCCATTGGAAAAATTTTTAATTACGCCATTTAGATCAGCTGACGAAGGCTCACCAGAGTGTAGATTCAACAAAATACATTCAAAAACAAGAAATATAGTTGAACGAGCAATTGGGGTGTTGAAGAACAGATTACGTTGTATATTAGGAGCGAGACAATTGCATTACACCCCTGATATATGTGGAAAAGTAACAGCAGTTTGTGCAGCATTACACAATATTTCCATACATTTCAAAATTGAAATGCCGATAGTTAGTGCAAACCCCGTACTTCATGACAGATTCAAATGATGTTGAAATGAACGACGATTTGAATACATTAGACATAAGATCATCAATAATGCTATATTTAAGTAATTAATTCATTTTATTATTAATTATCTTATAAAAAGTAAAATTCATTTTTAATATTTAATATTTTTATATTCTTCTTTAAGAAATTTTATTTTGTCTTCCTTTAACTTATAACCAATTTTTCTTTGTTTTAACAACTCTTCATTCAGTTTGTAGTTTTTGCGTTGGTACCTCTCAATATCATTTAATGATCGTTTAACATCATTATATAACTCTGTTTGCACCTTCAACTGCTCTTCAAGAAGTTCATATTTGTGGTCACTTTTCTTTTGTCTTTTTGAAGAAGTCGTTCTAACCTCTTCCTGAAGTTCATTTTGATTCGGGTTATTTGTGCTTACAGAGGGAATCGTACAGACATCTTGGATGACAACAACCTGCTTCTGTTGCGTATTTCTGTGAAATCTGTTTACGCTTGGAGGAGTCAGTATGCAGGGATTGTGGTTTTCTTTGTCTTCGCCAATTTCAAACCCTTCAAACAGTTCCTCCTCAGTCTCCAGTTCACCAAGTATTGCACGCTGTTGAATTCCAATTGCTTGGTTGCCTGCATTTACAATTGTCTCCAATTGTAACAGGCGTGATGCTGCTTCCTCCGTTTCGCTTAAAATGAACTGCTTGAAGGGCCCTCCACCTGTAGCACGACATTCTGCCTTGTTATGAACAAGCTTTTTCCTCAATTTAAATTTGTAGTCGGCCCAAACATTCATCCAGGCTTCGCCAGTTCGAACCGGCGGTCCTAAGATATTGAGTTTTTCACCAATTTTGTTCCATTCTTCCTTAATGTTAATTTTTTCAAGCCACTGCTGTAACCTCTAGCCAAATTTGGATTCCTTTGCAAAATCTGGATCATTTCATCAAATTGTTTTTTTCGTTGTGACTTTAAATCTAGAAAAATAGAAATGTTAATAGATTTACATACATATATTTTTGTAATGTTGATACATACTTCTTATTCAAATCCATTTTGTATATAATTTATTCTTTTGTAAACTCAATTTGGGAAAACTTGTGTGTTGTCGGCAACAAAATCTCTAACGACTAATTTTGCAGCTTTTGTCGAATTAGAACGCGTCTTGTGGTACGAAATTGTAACAGAATTCATACAGAGTTGTAATTTTTCGCATACGACACAAAAATACCAATTAGTCGTTACGACGCGTCAACTTGCAATTTTCGACACGACTACGCCAGCCATAATAAGGGTGAATAATAATATTTAATATTAAACATGTGGATCCATTTTAAGATGTGAGAGAAAAAGTGGACACACATATATTCATGTGAACAATTCTGACCCTTTGAGGGAGGTATGAGGAACTATGCGCTAATATTTCCATGTTCCCTTATCATCAAAGTTTGATATAAATATTACCACAGACCAAATTTGGACTTTATCTGGTTACCTTTGTTTAAACATTCTGTTTAAACTCTGTTAAAAAAGCCATTATATATATATATATATATATATATATATATATATATATATATATATATATATTTAATATAATTTGTCTTATTACATAGTGTTATTTTTTATTACATTATCGATATGTGTCTTCATTCACAGTATCGCATATTGCAGGCCATAGTAGTGTATTTGTGTTATCTGGTCCTTTAAATTTCGTCCCCTTACCATACCTGTTTCATATTTGCCCCTATTTGCGACACTTTAAACAGTTCTTCTTACATTTATCTATTTTTTTCTTCAATTCCGGGAGCGAATAATGGTGCCTCATTTTCAAGTGACAACTTTGTCTTCTTCTTCCATTATATATTTTCTTTAGTTGATTATCCTCCTTTTCTTTTGTTTCATTTTCCTCATCCAACCTCCCATCGACCTTGAAAAGAGCCCAACACGCCTCCCATTTCATTTAGTTATTTATATTTCACGTCCTTTGTCTTAATTCAATGTTTGTTCATTTTTAATTCATTAATCATATTTTTTCCGATATTATGAAATTCATTTGAATTGAAAACGATTTAAGGAAGTCCCTTCTGAGTAATAGAGCTCACCGGGCTCTGTCATTAATTATCTTAAGATTAATTTTTTTATTCTTCTTCTAAATTCTACAGCGCATTTGGCTTTGGCGTTTTTCCGCCCCATTGCGTGTTGAGGCTTCTTGCATGTATTTGCGTAGTGTCCCATGCCTTGGCAATTGTAGCATCGAAGTTCCGGCTCCTCCTGACTACTTCCCCTCCTGTGTTTTTCGGCTGCCGCTGGACTCTTTCAGCCACCATCTTTTCATACTTTGGAATTAACTTCTTAAAGTCGCATTTTTGTCGCATTCATAAACACTGAGGCCGCCGTCTTACATTCTTTCGGTTATGTACTCCACTAACTCTGCTTGTGTTATTGGAGCCCGTCGCCAAGTTCTTGCATTATCAATGCATATCTATGCATGACCTTTTTTCCACTTACAGCCATCCAACCTGTGCAGGATGTCCTTCGCGTCTGTCTTCTCGAATTTCTCACACAACTCCATCTTCAGAGCCAACTGTGCATTTGCACTACTCAAGAAGAATTTTGCGCTTCCGTCAAGCATTCTTCGTGCAAAGATAAATTTTTCTGCTTCATCACATCTCGTATTCGTCCAACCATTTTCTGATGGTGTAACATTCGTCGCCTGTAAATTAAGGGAAGGTTCCCTCTAAGTCTGCAAACGTGACCACACTTTTCTTTCGTTTCCGGCTTTCCAGCTCATCAATGTTATTTTCCAATTTCCAATATTCACGTAATTGACTCTCATTCGCTTGAAAAAAATTGGCTTTGTGTAGCTGTGCGTCAACTTGCTCCCTTGCTGTTGTAACGGCTGTGTCACTTCTTGGTCCCTTGTTGTTGACATGGTTGTGTCTTGCTCACTTACTCTTTGTTGCCATTGCTGTGCTTGGTCTTGCTCACTAAGTTGTCGTTGCGGTGGCTGTGCTTGGTCTTGCTCACTTGTTGTCTTGCTCACAGTGTTTTCTCGTTATGTTTTTTATTTCCAAACTTTTTGTTGGCTTTTCTACAATTTCACAGTATGCGTTGGTTGTCCCACACCTGAAGTTGTATACTTCTGTATTCTTTGTCGGTCACTTAACGAGTGACGCGATACCTTTTCCTGTATCTATATTATCTAACATGATATTGGTTGTCTTGTTACATAGTTGTATTTTTATCGCATTACCGATTTGTGTCTTCATTTACAGAATTTGTGTTCACTTATATTCTACTACAATATCAATGGTTTTGTAAAACCCCATATAACTGCAACCCAAGATATTCGGAATTTTTTAATTTTAATTTATTTTACAAAAGTTCCAACATAGCTCTTTTTTACTGTTAGTAAACAACTCGGCAAGATTTATTTACTTAATTTTATCGGTTGTAAAGGTCTAAAGGTTTTGCATTTTGGATATCATAAACAGTGTTGCCGAAAGTGGTTTTGTTATGATTTTGGTGTTTTTTTTTTTTTTTTTTTTTTCATTGCGTCATACTGACATTTTATCTTTCGTTTATATTTTTAATTTTTATAACATCTTCATTCTGAGAAAGAGTATACTTTTCAGCAAATGGAAGAGAAAAAAGAACAAGTTAGAAAGCATAAGTCGGTATTCCGACTGATAGATAATATCATCGTTTGATCATTTATTTTTGTATACCCTTTTTTGGGGTCGTTTCATAAATATTATACATATATATTTTCTCTTTATAATGATCTAATGTTTGTAGAAATAATGAAGCAGTGGCATTCGAAATGTTTATTTTTGGGTGTTCCTTCCCGGACACGGTTTTAAAAAGCATTCTGTGATTTTTTACTTCCCTGCAATGCAGTGTAGTTTTAAAAAGTATTGAAAAATAAGTTTACAATTTAAAATGCTTATGAATATTAATTATTTGGGTCAATTTTAAGATGTGAGAATAAAAGTGGAACAATTCTGACCCTTTTAGAGAGGTATGCGGAACTATGCGCTAATATTTTCCATGTTCCCTAATTATCTAAGTTTGATATTAATATTACCACAGATTTTATTGTACTTTATCTGGTTACCGTTTCGTTTTATATGAAATATGTGTGATTTTCTTGACATTTTTAAACTTTTTTGTATAAAAGAATCCGTTTTCCATAATCGCATATTGCAGGCTTCTTTTACAAAATACTTTGTACATCCTTTTGCGTGCGGTTGAGGCGCTGGGAAATTCTAACAATTAAAAATAAATATTTCAACATCATCAGTTTCCCAGTAGTCATAAAATATCACATGTGTACAATTCAGTGATCTTGTGCGCTGTCGCATATGGTAATGTGTAAATAATAAAGTCCATGACCCACACACACCAAATATCGATGCGCCAGTAGGTAGCCAAGATCACTTGAATGAAGGGACAAGCAGCCATGTTATGTTCCCTTTTTAAATCTAAAAATAGATAAGAACAATTGTGTGGCTGCGAGTAGGTTAAGTTAGATTAGTTTTTGTAACAGTTAAGAACAATATTTTTAAAATAAAATCAGATTTAACTCATCAACCCAAACGTGCGGTTGTGTTTTATTTCTCAGGAGTGAGATTTGGAGCTGATATCTACACAGAGTGGTTGGTTTCTCTTCTCACTTGTACACCTCTATTATACCATAGTAGGGTATTTGTATTATCTGGCCCTTTAAATTTCGTATATGGACCTTTAAATGTCAATACTAGTTTCATATTTGCCCCTATTTGCGAGTACATATGACACTTTAAACAATTCTACTTATATTTATCTATTTTTTCCTTCATTTCCGGGAGCCAATAATGGTGCTTCATTTTCAAGTGACAACCTTGTCTTCTTCTTCCATTATATATTTTCTTTATAATCAACTCCTTTTCTTTTGCCTCATTTTCCCCACCCAACCTCTCATCGACCTTGAAAAGAGCACAATTTTGGGCGTTCCTCCCCGGACACGGTTTTAAATAATAATAATATTTAATATTAAACATGTGGATCCATTTTAAGATGTGAGAGAAAAAGTGGACACACATATATTCATGTGAACAATTCTGACCCTTTGAGGGAGGTATGAGGAACTATGCGCTAATATTTTCATGTTCCCTTATCATCAAAGTTTGATATAAATATTACCACAGACCAAATTTGGACTTTATCTGGTTACCTTTGTTTAAACATTCTTTTAAACTCTGAACCACTCTGTTAAAAAGCCATTAACAGAGCAATATTAATGTTAACCGATTTTCATAAAACCACTATTTTACATTTTAGATGTCAAAGTATATTAATGTTAACCGATTACTTACATTTTAGATGTCAGTATATATATGTAGATTTTGTCCGTCCATACGTTGCAATAAACATTTTATTGAAAATAATACACAGACATAAACAAATAAAGTTGATATATTAAGCCAAGAAAATAAAAAAATTGAAATCATATGGTATCACAGCCCTACCTTGATTTTATTGTACCATGCATCCAACTATATACAGTAGACCTATTCTATAATTTTTAATTACTTAACTCATTGCTTATTTTACAAAAAAATTAATATGTAATTTTATTTTTGTTACAATAACAAAATAAATTTTAGTAATAACAAGAGAACTATAGTAAATTTGTTTTTATCATATTTTTAAAATTTTGTTTGAATTACATGGTATGTTATTATCGATAAAACTCAATTCAGCAGATGTCGCCTTGTCTGTTTTCAAGGGTTTGAGTCTATATGTTACAAATATACACATTTCTAAATTGAATTTAATGATATCTTTCTAAATATATAAGGATCTTTAGAAAATTTAAAAACTTTAAATATTTAGAGATCTATTACATACGTGTGCTTATCATTCAATTATTTTACAATTTTATGCATAATACGTTTGATTTAACACTTTTGCAAATATATTTTTAGTTTTAATATGTTTTGTTTTTATTTTCCATATACAGTAGATATCACAAAAATATTGAAATTGCTTGAATAATATCGGAAAAATTACCAGTAGTTATATCTGTAATACTCTTTTATTGCATCATGGTTTATCTCGTGAAATTGTTTAGCATACGTTGCGTGTATTTTAATGAGGCATAACATTTGTAGATACGTCAGACCTTGCGCTTTAATACGCTCTTTGTTTAGGTACTTTCGTAAGTTGGCTAACCAACGCCATGTTATTGTTTTCCCAACCAATTTATGTTTTACTACTCATACTGATTTGTTTACTACAACTTTATTAGCAATAAAAGTATTTAATATTTCGACCAAAGACATTGTATGTGCTGTAACATTTGTTCACAATGACTTAAAATATGTAAAACGAAAATTAGATTTACCGTAAGTTCGTATGACTTTGTAGACTAAATTAAGCTCCTGTCTTAAATGCCACGAGAAAACTTTCTTTTGGACAGGATGTGTATAGTGATTTGAAATATGTTTTTTAAAGCTTGTTATCGCACACCTTTGGTTAATAAATTTATGTGATTGCACTCAATTAAATTGCGAGTACAGTATCGGAACAATTGAAATTGTTTATCACGTCTTTTGGCTCGCGTAAATCCCTGGCCGAAGACCAGATTTATACCACAAACATACCATTAGGCATATATCGGAAGGTATACGTTTATATCGTGATTAACATAACATAGACTAACTAGAGATATCCCTAAGAGAAACAACCAAAGTGCCGTGTATAAATCTGCGTGGAATTTCTTCCATATATAATACCACCTCTTCAAGAGATGATACAATTCGGAAACTTTTTTATTAAAAAGGGATGATTTCGTTGTCCATAATTGTTGATTCCGAGTCCTAACAGCTGTAATTGTTCCAATTTACGCATTGCGGTCCAAAAAAATATAGTAACATTTTGTTCTGTGCATTTTTATAGTGAATTTCATAAATGTCAGTGCGTAGTTGGAAAATATGGCTTTTGGAAACCGGTTGCAAGGTATCTAACACAATTAGTAGGTCTGGTCAGTCCAACTTCGGCTACGGCACTCTAAGATCAGCTACGTCACTAAAAGTTTTCAGAAATTCGATATATTTTTTTAGTAACTTGAGGTTTTCTTTTTTTTTCTCACGGAAGCAGAAATTAGTGAGTTTGTATCCTCGATGTGATCAGCGTGTCGTCTTCAGTCATTTTAATCTTCTGGCTAATTGAAGCATAACTGCGGGGTTGGACAGTGGCAGATTAAGTGCTCCACCATGTCGCTTTCCTCCTCGTCCTGACAAAACCTGCAGTATTCACAGAAAAATTCTGAATTTTCCGCTCCTTGTAAAAAGTTTGAGCTCAGTTATTCATGGTTATGGTTCGCGCCGAGTCCGTTGCATTGTGCCCATCTAGAAAGTTTAACAAGAGCTCCCTCACTGAGGTCTGAAGCAGTTTGCAAAATTTTTCCGGCAATCAGCAGAACCACATCGTCAGCGTAAGCCACGACTTTTGTCCCGTCATGCTCCAGATCTTTTAGTATGTCGTTTATCACCAGAAGCCAGAGTAATGGTGACAGAACCCCTCCTTGTGGAGTACCCCTCAACCTCACAATTAGGAGTGGTGGTAACCAAGTTTTGTAAGAGAACTATGAATGGCCGCGAGTGTGACATAGTTGAAGGCCCCCCGATGTCGAGAAAGACTGTCAAAATGAAACACGAGTTATTTTGGTTCTTCTTTACATACTCACGACGTCTTGCTGCGCTGTTTCAACAGATTTGCCTTTCATATAGGCATGTTGAGCAGTGCTTATCGGAGTCAAAGGTAGTAGAGATCTGATCTCAATATCTATTAGTTTCTCTAGAGTTTTTGGAGCAAGTTGAGTTTAGGGGCTATGCTCGGATCATTTTGAAATTTTTACCGCAGGTAGGTATTTGTAACCTGATTACGGCAATGTAATTTTTTTGTGGGGGAAATACCCGGTTACCCGGTTATTCGACCCAAAAGTTCGAATACAACATCCGGTTTATATCCGGTTCGACGTAACCGATATCAATAATATGGGTATCATTTGAAAGCTTATGAAAATATCTATCCAACGGGGTAATTGGAACCTGTTTCGGAGAAATTTAGGAAAATGTATGAGTAATTTTTGAAAAACCCATAAAAACTCGAAAATGGACCCATTATAGGGTCTTAAAATCTATACACAATATTATAGCTAACACTATTGCCTTTCCAAAATGGTGTCATATGTGTTGATATCTTTTGGGGTTCCGTGGATATAAGAGATAGAATTCATTAAATTATATTTTTCTCCAGTCTAGATGCATTTGACTTTGACCTTTATAGCTTTTTTAAGCAACCGGCCTTCGGCCTGGGCTTAAGATTTTCTCCTCTGGGGTATGTCCAACACCGGCTACGCGATCCATAGTTTTTCTAAAAATTGTACATTTTGTAAGTAGCCGGCCTTCGGCCGGGGCTTAAGATTTTCTCCTCTAGGGTATGTCCAACACCAGCTACGCGATCCATAGTTTTTCTAAAAATTGTAATTTTTGTAAGTAGCCGGCCTTCGGCCGGGGCTTAAGATTTTCTCCTCTGGGGTATGTCCAACACCGGCTACGCGATCAATAGTTTCCTAAAAACTGTAGTTTTCGAAAGTAGCCGGCCTTCGGCCGGGGCTTAAGATTTTCTCCTCTGGGGTATGTCCAACACCGGCTACGCGATCCATAGTTTTTCTAAAAATTGTAATTTTTGTAAGTAGCCGGCCTTCGGCCGGGGCTTAAGATTTTCTCCTCTGGGATATGTCCAACACCCACTACGCGATCCATAATATTCTAACAACACCAAATTAAAAACAAAGCAGATTAACAAGAACGTTAAACCCGACACAAAACTTGGGTTCACTCAAACTGCTTTCATAAGTAACGACTTTAAAAGTCAATATCTTCGGAACTACAAAAGATATCAACACATATGACACCATTTTGGAAAGGCAATAGTGTTAGCTATAATATTGTGTATAGATTTTAAGACCCTATAATGGGTCCATTTTCGAGTTTTTATGGGTTTTTTCAAAAATTACTCATACATTTTCTCCGAAACAGGTTCCAATTACCCCGTTGGATAGATATTTTCATAAGCTTTCAAATGATACCCATATTATTGATATCGGTTACGTCGAACCGGATATAAACCGGATGTTGTATCCGAACTTTTGGGTCGAATAACCGGGTAACCGGGTATTTCCCCCACAAAAAAATTATATTGCCGTAATTAGGTTACAAATACCTACCTGCGGTAAAAATTTCAGGTCAATCCAAGCATAGCCCCTAAACTCAACTTATGCCGAGTTTTTTTATCGCTCATAAGATTTTGGGTGCTTACAATCCTTTCAGTCAGACTCACGTCCTCTGCCTCACAGTACTGGCTATGCCGATCTGCCAGTCGATCATTTCTCGCATCTGTGCAGTCCAAAAATTAAGTGCTGGCTAACAGATTGAGAGTCTCTAGACCTAAGTCAGTCCACCTTCTGTCATTCCAAAGAATTTGGGGTCCTTTGAAAGAACGGAATCTGGAAGCTTCATTCACATCCTCTATAGACTCCGTAAAGCAGACCCATGATAACCTTTTGGCTTTTTTAAAACCGGTGGACATCTCTTGCCAAGGAAGGTAAGGGGACAAGCTTTCTCATAGCATCCAATTAGAATCTTTGTTAGTAAATTTACGGAGTCATCTATGTTTGAGCCGGAGACTACTGGGATATTACCCGTAGATCTCAGCCTCAATTCACTATATTCCGCGAATTTGTCCCATCGATCTTTTCTTGGATTCCTATGCGGTTTATGATGGAATCCCTCTACTGAGATTTTGTATATTATCCTCCGGTGATCCGAGAAGGAGCATTCGGACCTTCCAATTCAGTATGAGTGATTCATACATATTTTAAGGGTGAGATCAATGACATCCTCCATATTTTTATTTTGAAAAGAGGCCTCATTTCCCCTATTAAATATTTTGAGATTATGTTTAAGAATAAAATCAAAAATGGACTCACCTCTGGCATTGGTATCCTTACTGATCCCATTGAAAGTGGTGGGCGTTGGCATCGCATCCAATTGTCCTTGCTTCCCAGCTCCGTGAAAAGCTTCTCTACTACTTGGCCCGGTGGGTCGGGGTACTCAAAGCGTGGATAAAGGGAGACAAAAATTACAACACTTCCAGATTATGTCTCCAGTCTAACCGCCGTGGCGTCTCCTCCGCTGAAATTGTTAGGGATATTAAGTTCAAGCGACGGAGGTAGAGTAGTTAGTATACCATTCTCTCCCCAGCCCAGTCATCTTATTTTTGAATATATAGCTTGGTGTTTCCTTCCTCCTACTGCAGCGGCGTTAGACGGAATCGTCTGAAGGTTTTCCTGGTCAGCAGTATCTCCTTTCGTACTTTAACCGACTAATCGCCAGTTGCCCGTACAGCGATTGTGATTTTGTTTTCCCAATATTATCAGCAGGCGTGCCGGGTCCACCGAAGATGGCGGCACCCTGCCTATTAGGATCGTCCCCTAGAAAAACTAGCTCCCTCAGACGGTTCTCAATGAGCAGTCACCGACTTTCGCTGATTTTACCTTCCGGCTCATCACGGTCGATGACTGCCACACGGAGGTTGTCCCAGTAGACCGTTTGGGAAAATTTCCTTTTTTTGCTACTCCGGCTCGAAGGTTGAGGTTTGGTGGTTTCAATTGCGGCTTTAGTAGATCTAGGGTCCACAGAAGCCGCTGGAACCGGACCAAATACTACTTCCTTACTGACGGTTTTTTTTGCCTCGGGTGGTGGTTCCTCCTTTGACCGTCCCCTCTTCATCGTTGGACGAGATGAGGGTTTGGTCTCCTTCGATTCCGCCGAGGTAACGATTCCTTCGGGTCCCCCTTCTTCTATCTCCACTTTCTGCGCTTCTTTGACTTTGTTTCAATAGAGGCAGCATTGGATTTTGTCGATGGTGCAACAGCTGACGCTGTTATTCCATCAACTGGAATGTTGCTGCCTTTCACACTACCCTTGTCCGAAGGTTTATCCCCAGCTGAACTCGCTTTCTTGACGAGGTCGGTTAGAAGAGAAGCAAACTCCTTCCCAGGGAACATTTTGGCAGTAGCGGCTTATTCTTTTCGAATTTCCGCACTGTATTAAGTTTCGCCCTGATTAGGGGTTTTTCCTTCTCCGCAATTTGTAGGGGGTCGCGGTCGAGGAACCTTTTACAGTACCTGAATATTGCATTTAGGAGATTCAATCAGATAATATAATATACACTGGTGGCCAAAACTAAAGCAAATGGAATTACAAGGAGAATGAATGCCCTGTAACTTTTGTAAAAATTAAGAAAAAAAAAACTTAAAACAAAAAACCAAAATTCATTTTTATATAAAAAATAATGGACAAAACAAAAGCAACTCTGTTGTACTTTCATATGATCGCTGCAATTTCAGTTGTTTTTACTGTTATATTTATCGCTTTTTGCTTCCTTCAGCAATTTCGCTTGTCAAAAATCATTTTTGGAGAAGTTTTTTACAACAGCACGCGTTTGTTTTCCTTTTTAAGTACCTCCAAAAAAAGTTTAAAAATGGCTAGATGCAGCACATTAATAAAACCGAAAATTATCAGTGACTATGAAAACAAGTTATCGCAGAAAATG